GGTGGTGGAGTAACTGAAGACGCCTTAACTTGCAACTTGCAGCTGGTTTAGCCGGACAGTTATCGCCAAAGACATCGTGAAAGTAGGAGAGTGTAAGAATCCTTGGAAAGCAGTTTGAGATTTTTAATGTTTACCTCAGTATTTGAGTCGTGTTTTTACCGCAGCCTAAAACCAAACGTCGCGAGCGTGTCGCAGATGTGACTGAGACACAGGGGGATACCTCACAGTAGCACCTTAACCCAAGATGGCTCCAAGCTAAAGCATAATGATGGGACCTTTATTTCCAAAGTGAACATCGTGTTTTATTCAATAAGACCGTAAACTCAGCAGGAAAGAGTTGGCTGAGCTCACATATCAACGGAACAGAGCTTGTTTTCAGATGATTCAGACGTCTACGTGATTGGACTCGTTTTCACCCCCTGCTGGCGAATTGAAAGACTGCAGGCGTAAAGCACCTTTCAGCCCCATGAGCTACAGTTCTGTAATAATTATAGAGGAAATGGAATAAGTCTGAAGTCTGAGGTCTCAGAGCCGGTGGACTTAGGCTAATGCTGTGAAGCTAGCTCTTCTTATTTACTTTAATATTAAATACACTCATTTTGGCAAAGGTTTGCATGCTGAACAAGACAAAGAGGTACCTGCTTTTCTTTAAGGTGGTGTAAAGTGTAAAGCTTTGAGTCTCAGTGCAGTTTATAAATGGCTGCTATACAAACACGTCCCCCCTGTGCCGACAGAAGCAAGCAGCTACCACAGAAACTGCAGAGTTTGGTACAGACACGTTCTCTGAGGTTGTCTCTTGAGGTGCACGGGAACCTTTAATGCATCTGCTGCTTGATATGAAGTTTAAGAAAACATTTGAATTGTTTCTGTTGATGCTTGAGTTTCAGGGTCCTTTTATTTCCTGATGTTTTTAGGAGTTTTGTGTCTGTTAATATTCTTTGATTTTAAATGTCGGTTGTGGAACTACTTTTCTGTTTTAACTCAGGGCTTTGAAAACGGTGATAAAGGCAGCGGGTGTGTTTTATTAGTTGACATTAACGATGTCTTTAAGAATGGATTGAACAAATCATCCTGCTTACACGCACTCGTTTTAATCTTTTACATTTTTTATTTAATAAGATCTCTTTTGAATTTACAAGGCAGGTCGACTTAACCAGGACGAGGATTTCTTTTTTGTGTGAAACTGTTCAGTTTTTATAAAATCTTGCCTCATATCAAGAAAAAGCTCACTTTTTTCTATTTAACATTTCCTGTTCCGGTTCTTGAGACGATGTTTTAATTGTTTGTTCTAAGTTGTATTTTAGTTTTTGGTTATTTTTCTCAGTGACGTGATTTCCGTGTGGATTTTTTGCACGCTACAGAATTTCTCTGTAACTCAGGCAAAATTGGATCTAGTGTTAGTGAATCCGATGCATGTTGAAGGACTGATGTTTTTATGTGTGAATACTCGGATAAATCATCTATATGCATTGCAAAGATTTAGGCTACTAGAAGAATATATTTGTGTTAAATGAATGTGCACAGTTGTCAGTCGCTGTATGTGAGCGAATGTATGTAAACTGTTAAATGTGAAACCTGCTTTGAATGTAACACGGGCTAAGATTCAATAAAACAGTCAATAAATCCATGCTTTATGATTGTAGGTATGAATGAATGTCGCCCCCTTGTGGCGTAAGTGAACTACACACGTGAACTTGTCGAGGTGAAGAAATGAGGCGACTGCTCATTTCTTTCCTGGTATGTTCCTGGTGTTGCTCAGGCCTAATGTTCAATGTCCTCTATGAGTTGAAATCACCTCCATCGTTACTTGATCTCCAAAATGTGAACAGTCGTCGATAAATCACGAGCAGAAGATTTATCTTCATTTGATCACCTCATTTGGCAAAATTTCAGGATATGCCTTCATCTAAAACCTGCTAATGACAATTTCACATATCTTGGATTGACTGTCCCTAATGATCCCAAATTATTTTTATCCACATTAAAGCATAATATGGAGTCATGGAAAATTCTTCCCTTATCCACGATTGGTCGTATAAATTCCATAAAATGGTCTCTCTTCCTAGATTTTTGTATCTTTGCCAGAATCTTCCTCTTTATCTCACTTCCTCTTTCTTTAAGGAATTGGACTCGATTATCACGTCTTACATGTGGAACAACAAGAATCCTAGAATAGACAAATCTACGAGTGTTGACCTTCTGGCACCAGACATCCCCAGATCTTAGTAATTCTAACACCCACCTTTGGGTTATAATGGAGGCTGACGTAGTAAGGGACTCCTCTTTAGAGGCCCTGCTTTTCTCCAGAGTGGGGAAAGCTGAGGTTTTTAAGAAACTAGGGTTTGTTCCAAAACAATCTGTGCGTATTTTAAACCAATTAGAGGTGTCCTTGAATTGTCAAACTCCTCTGTGCAGTCACCGATATGCTCTTTTGCCTCCCCTGGGTGATAAATCCACCATGTTTGGAGGGAGAAGGGCTTAATCAAATTCAAAGATCTTTATATATTTGGAAAATTTGCATCATTTTATCAGCTTAGGCAAAATTTCATTTTAACGCATTCACATTTTTACCGTTACCTACAAATTAGGCATTTTGTGCAAGCCAATATCAAGAATTATCGAGATATTCCGAATGAACACAACTTCTTTAATGTGCTCCTGAGCCGTCCTTACTCCAAACATCGGATCTCTACAGTTGTACATTTGTTTGATGAAAGTGTTGAGGTGCAGACTACGAGGATAAGAGACACCCGGAAGGAGGAACTGGGTATAGAAATACCGGAATAAATGTGGGACAAAAATTCATTCCTGCTCTGTTAACGGCTGACATTAATGAATACAATTTAAAGTTGTCCATCGGCTCCATTACTCCAAGGTTGGACTACACAAAATTTGTTCTTCGACTTCCCCCGTATGTGACAGATCGCACATTGGCTCATGCTTTTTGGCATTGTCCCTCATCGACTAATTCCAGAATATTTGATTGGTACTCTAAAGCTTATGAAATCTTCATCACACCCAATCCAGAAATTGCAGTTTTTAGCTGCGTTTGTTCCAGAACTATTCCTGCAACTATGCAGGTGCCAGTCGATGATGATGGTTGCAAAAAGACGTATCCTAAAGGAATGAAAGTCTGCTGTTCCTCCCTCCTTCACTGTCTGGCTCAATGACATGCTATCAGTCATAAAATGGAAAATATTCTATACCTACAAACTTCTGCAGGAAATGTTTTCTCAAAATCCTGGACTCCATTTTTGAATTAGCTTGGGAAAGCTCCGATTGTATGAACATGTACCATGTTTGTTACGTATTCATGATATTTGTGGTTCTCTGGATACTGGTAGTTCTTATCATCACAGTGATATTTCTTGTCTTCTTGCCTTAGCACCTGAGCTGTATTTGTTTGTTGATGGGGTTTTCTATATTGAAAAATTAAAATAAAATATTGCAAACAATCGTAAAACAACAACAAAAAAAATGTATTAAAAAATGTGAAACCTGCTTTGAATGTAACACGGGCTAAGAGTCAATAAAACAGTCAATAAATCCATGCTTTAAGATTGTAGGTATGAATGAATGTCGCCCCCTTGTGGCGTAAGTGAACTACACACGTGAACTTGTCGAGACTGAGTTAAGATGTTGAATGAATGATGCTGAATGTCCTTTATGAGTTGAAATCACCTTCATCGATATTTGATCTCCAAAATGTGAACAGTCATCAATAAATCACGAGCAGGACTTTGTTCTGTTTTTGTAAATACCTTCATTGAATAAAATTCTAAAGGCAATGTTTGGCTCTTAGAGTGTGAAACCTTTGCATCCTGATCCCAAGACACGTATGTGAATCCTGGAGGAGGAGAAGCACATAAGAGCTCCGATGCTGTCATCTGCTCGTCAGTAATAAAGGTCTGTTAAACCTGTGCAAACACGCCGTCTTGTTTTTCCACAGAAGCATGTGAGTGTTGACTTGTGTGTTTGTCACAGACAAACAGGCTGTGAAAGGGGGCGCTCTTCTGCTCAGTTCCTGCTCTGTGTTTTTATCTAATTTAAAAGTGTATCTGGGCCCTGTATTTAGCTTCTGTCTCAAGTTCAAGCTCTCGCCTTTTGCAGCATATTTACCTTCATGATTTGCTCCTTTAAAAGTCTGCGTTCCTGTGATTGGCCAACTTGTGGAAGCCAGCCAAGGGGCAGTTGTTATGAGCAGCACTACTTGTACACAGAGGGTGCCCCCAAACTAAAGGGTCATCAGCTGTTTGTCGCTGAAACAGCCTGTGGAGTCTCACTTCGAGGTTTTTCCGCTGGGATCCTGAACCTTTCATTGTCTGGGACCAGAAATTTGGGTTAATACTTTCACAGTGTGAGACACATCTTTGGGAATGAATACACAGCCACGGTGTCAGTGGCTTTGTATTCAGATGTTGAGATGTTGTGAAACATCAAAATCTCCCACGAGTGTCTGCAGCGCCGTGTTGAATCCGAGCTAAGAACTGTGGGGGCTGTTTAAAGTGTGTAACTAATAAAGTGGCATGTGAATGTATCATAAAAACGATAGGTCTCCTTAAAAGGAGGCAGGGAAGGTTGTTGCAAAGCTGCTTTTTCACGTTGATTATGGGAAATGTTGTGGTTTCCTTGTGCTGCCTTCAGGTGTTGTTGGAATTATGCCGAAATTTCCCTTCATATCCGGCAGATCCGCACACAGGAAAAGCATGTTCGTGATTTAAAAGTTATAATTTAATTATTTAAAACAACAACAACAACAACAACACCTGAAAGTGTCTTTTTAAAAGTTACACACAGTGATTAAAGACTGAATCTTCTGAAATCATTCCTTCTAATGTTTTTCAAAAAGGTCAGAAAAAAATCCAAAGAAACAGCTCAGTTTATTTATGTTACTGTATTTGAAGCAATATTTCATCGTTTAATTAAATTGGACTGGAACTTTATCACATTATGGTCTTTCCGACAAGTGTTTGGTAAATCAGAATTCCGAGTTTACAGTTTGCTCCTGAAGGCAGCCTAACTTGATCCTGAACAGAAGCAACAGCAGCTGTTGTTCAGGTCAGAGACCTTCCGCGTGTCCACCTGATTGCAGGTAATCCTCAGGAGTAATCCTCAGGAGTAATCCTCAGCGTGGTCAGGTAATCCGTGCGTGTTTGCAGATGTTTCAGAGAGCAGCTCAGCCTCGAGATGATTGTTAGTTGATGTTTTTGATCTAATGCGCAGATATATTTCCGGTTAGTTTATCGAGATTTGTTCGCGCGATTCTTATCTTAAAAATAAATAAAAATAAAACAAAGAAAAACGTTGAAAAGCTCTCGCGCAGAGATAACTGCGATTTCAAAAGTCTGATATTTAGCGTCGAACTAAAAAACAAACAGCCGTTTTATTTTCCGGTAACCGCACTTCCTTATCACGCAGTGGGAAACTCCGAACCAGAATCCGCGTTAAATTCGGGGACTTTTGTTTAACAAAAGATTTTATAGCAACGTTTGGAAGTTTGATGAGTGACCAGTGGATACGTGTTATCATCTTAAAATGTCAAACAAAGAGGAAGAAGCGCGCTGAACAGCAGCCATAAGCTCATATTTCATTTGATTATTAGTTTGCTATCATTCCCGTGTTGACTGTGATACTGGTGATAATGTAAGACGCGCGTCCTTACACGTGTTGTCTTTGCTCTTCAGCTCCTCAGTCGCCCTTCAGCTGCTTCAGCTGAATCATTAAAGCGAGACTTCCAATCAGTCAATCAATTAAAACAGGTTATTAATGATTTCAAAACCTCATTAGGTTTTCGTAAATACCTCTTTTCACCGACATCAACTTTAAAGCAGGAAGTTAACTTTCTCTGTGTTTGTTATCGATATTTGATACCAGCATCATAAACCTGAAAACTGTGTTTTTGGTGGCCCCCATTTGGCCACCCCTGAATGTGGAGGCGCTCCTGAATGTGGAGGCGCTCCTGAATGTGGAGCTCTTTTAGATTCTTAAAATGTCATAAAGGCAAAAATCAGAGAATTATTGCTAAACCAGAATCATTTTCTCCTGTAAGTCTGTCTGAAGAACATCTGGAAGCTAAAGTCGATCAGCTGCTGCAGATTCCCTTCTCCTCCCTAATACTCAAACATTGTTGGCCCCTCCCTCATTGTTTGCACTTGTGGTTTTTCCAGAATTTTCCCTCTGAGCTTCTGTGACCTCTGACCTTTATCATGGCATCCACATCTATCACCACCATCGGGGGAGTGATGGTCGTGACTCAGGTCATTCCCAAGGATGACGGCTCCATCCAGCTCCAGAACGCCAGCAGCTCCACTGCACCGGCCTCTCCCCCTGTGAAAAAGACCACACCCATCCCAGTCAAGATGGACGACATAACCGTCGCCTTCATGCGGGGACAGCCGCACGCTCTCGGGGTGAGCGTCTGGACTCTGACCATCATATTCATCGCAACAAAGCACAGACACAAACACGTTTTCACAGTCAGAGCGACTTACACGTCATGATGATGTCATCACCTCTGACCAACCAGAATAAACTTTCCTGACAGTCTCCATGTTTTTAGCTGTTCTTCAGTTTCAGAGTAATAGGAGGCTCACTAAGTCATGTGATCAGAATGGCTTATGGTAAATCTACGTCATTCAGTTAAATAAAGCTTTGGCTTTATTTAACTTTAAATCGTTAAAGGTAGGTGGAGCTAAAGGAAGACGCACATGGATCAGATTTTATTGTAATAATAAAGGTTTAATGAAGCTGCCAGAAGCGCCTGTGACACCACAGGCTGCTCTCAGCCTGCACACAGGTCATCTTTGATGCTGTTTTTCAGTTTGGTGGTGTTTTAACAAGAACTTTAAAATCTGCATTATTTTTCATCTTTGCTCATGTCTCCGTCCGTGTCCTCAGGTCGTTCAGATCATGATCGGGCTGCTGTGCATCCTGTTCGGTCTGACCGCCATCTCCTCGTGGGCCATGATCGCCTACTCTCCATTCGCCCTCGGCGCCGCTGTACGTACACACAAACATGATTAATAATCTTCAGGTAAAGCCTCACAGGGGTCATGTGTCGTCTAACCACGCCTCTCTGCTGTCGTGCAGTTTGTCGTCTCCGGCTCGGTGGCCGTGGCGGCAGGGAGACGCACTTCCATCTCACTGGTGAGTTTTAGAGAAACCAGAAAGAGGATGTGTGAGTGACAGGTCAGCAAACTCAGACCTGCTGATTACAGCTGAATGACAAACTAATGAAATACCGAAGCTGCAGCTCCTCCTTCTTGGACCGTCTGTTAGTGCCGTGACCTCACAGCAGCCATATTGTTGGTCAGATGATGTCATTAAAAATGGTCCATTTCAGGGACGGTTAGCTGCAGCGCTGTGATTCCTCTGGAGCTTCGGTTAAAGTCACAGACTGTGTATCAAAGATGGATGAAGCCATTGTAGTTCGTTAGCCGCTGTTAGTTTAGCCATATCTGGTGTTTGTGCAGGTTTGGGGGTCCCTGGTGTCCAACGTGATAAGCGTCCTGATTGGCCTGGCCGGTGTGGCCTACACCTGCTGGCTTCTGGCCGAATGCCCCCCCTCCGATCGCTTCTGTGACCAACAGAGCTTCATCGAGTTCAAGGACGTAGAAGGCCTGAGGAGGACATGCAGCCAAAATTTTTATATGCTGAATGTAAGTTTATCTCTGTCTGGTCTTCAAGGCCGGACTCTCGGTGCACCTCAGATCTGGTCCCGGGGTCTTCCCTGAGCACAGGAGCAGGTTGTTCTTTGTGTGTATTTCCTGTTTCAGGTGGTTCTTTACGGGCTGCTCGGCCTCTTCCTGGTTCTCCTCGTCCTGCAGACCTGCGTCACCATCGTCGTCTGTGTTTTCTCTGGCAAAGCCATCAGGCTCCGCACACCTTCTTCTCTCAGCGTAAGACTCCTCCTACCAATAATATTAACTCCGCCTCTCAAGAAATGCTGATGTGTTCAGTCGCAAGAGAGAAAAAAAGAAAATTAGCAAAATAATGATAAGACCTGCTGAAATACATTTTTAATATCAGCTTTTCTTGCATAAAAAGATTTGATGAATCCGAAAAATATTTTCAGTCTTTGTAAACTGGGATTATTATTATTTCCTCCTGCTTTAAATATATTTTTTCTTATCCTGTCTTCCTTCTCTCACCCCAACCAATCACAGCAGATGGTCCCGCCCCTCCCTGAGCCTGGTTCTGCCGGAGGTTTCTTCCTGTTAAAAGGGAGTTTTTCCTTCCCACTGTCATCAAAGTGCTTGCTCATAGGGGGTCATATGATTGTTGGGTTTTTCTCTGTATCTATGAAGCGCCTTGAGGCGACTTTTGTTGTGATTTGGCGCTATATAAATAAAATTGAATTGAATTATCAGATAGCCAGAGATAAAACTGAAGTGCAGAGCGCTTTCACCACCCAGAAAACTTTATACAGATTACTGACACGCTGACGTGCTGGACTGTCAGGAAATGATTTATATATAGAATAAGTTTCACTTTGGTCCTTTCAGCTCCCGTCTCAAACGGACCCGACTTTTATGTCGTGTGTCTGAGCCTGAAGGCATCGCCGCAGGTTCATTTCCTAAAATGAAATTCAAGTTGAAAGATTGCTATTTTGGCGCAGTAGAAGAAATCGCGTGCACATCACAGACGCTGACGTGCACGCGGTCAGAACGCGAAATTCAGCAAGTGATTAAAAAATATCAAGGGCATCAACATTGATCTCATAGTGCAGAAGAAGACTGAAGGGCCGATGTTAGTGGTGCAACGGATCACGGTTGATTTAAGCAGCCCTTTGCTGCCCAATCCGACCGGGTTAAAGCTGTTACAAAAGCTGTTGGGGTGTTTGGCTGAAGACGGAGGCCGTATTCTGTTGTGCAAAACAAGGGGTTTAAACTAGTCAACGCATTAGTTAATGCATTGACGCCGTGCAGCCCCATGCACGGGCGATCTGCGGTAACTAGTTAACGGAGATTTGCCGCATTAATGCAGTTTTGGCATTAACGTCATTTTAACTAGATTTACGCTGACAGCACTAGTTTAAACTATGATGAGCGTGCTTGAGCCACGCTATGATATCCTGTCGCGCGTCCGCTTCAGTGACAAGATCCTTCCGAGCATGCATGAGCAGGAAAAGTTTAAAGTTATGGCTGAGCTGTCCCAGGCATCTTCTGTTGCCCTAACTACAAATGGGTGGAGCTCCAGGGCAACGGAAAGCTACGTGACCGCTCATTATATCACAGCGGAGTGGTAGATACAAAGCCCTGCACTGCCCTATACTGCATCTTAATTTGTGCGGAATGAGTCTTGAGTTGAATGTTTTTTAATAGGCAAAAAATACTTAAATAAGTAAATAGTGAGTTACATTTTTTTCTTCTTTTTTTTTCTTCTGCTGATCCGAAAATTGATCCGATCCGAACCGTGAGACTTTTGATCCGTTGCACCACTAGCCGACAAATTGAAATGTTTCGGTTTGATGTCTGATCACCAAAAATGTGTAACTACGCCTCCTGCAGTGACGGAGGCATGGAACGGTCCATTATTCACACCTAAAGGATTTGAAACCTGAAATATTCCGCTTATTAACTCCTTGAATCCCTTTAACTGAAAATGATCTGTGATTGGTTAATGAGGCTTTTGCAGGTTTAAGAGAGAAATAAAATCATGAAAACATAAAATATCAAAAATTATAGTCAAACATTTACAAGGAAAAAAAACTGGATTCGTTGCAAACTTTATTCTCCGGTATGAAGCATTTTGAATGTTTGTTTTTGAGAACATTTCCAGAACAGCCGATGTTGATGTCGTCTGACCTTTGACCCGCAGGTGGCGTCTGATGATTGCAGAGGTCTGCTGCCGCCCTACTCGCCCTGAGAGGAGGAATCATCTGAGAGCACTTCAGATGCTGCAGGAGTCTGACTCCGTCTGTCTTTTCTTGCTTTTTTTTACTGAGGTGTCACTGGCAACTGTTGCACAGCATTCTGGGTAATTTAGGGGGAAATCTGCCATGTTAGTGTAATCAAACCGTAATCATCATTATTACTGACAGTCATTTCAAATCACGCTCTTGTATTGTAACGTTAACACTACAATAAATTGTTCTTATGCAGCTATAATGCAACAGAGCTGCATTATAGTTGCACTTTTCAAAGGGAGGCTGGAAACCCAGCCAAGTTATGTTTGCAGATGCCTCTGACGTTTTTGTCTGACCTTCAATATGAATGTGAGGCAGCTGAGCCTCCACAGCCTCCCAGTCTGATTTCTCTGCATCATCTAAGAATTAAACGCCTGTCACTTACAGTATTTGCACTGAATACATTTTCTGTCTTTCAAACTGCAAAAAACCTTCAGAATGTCAGTAACAGGATTAATTGTCTCCAGCTGTTTTAGAGCCAAATAACAAGAAGAGAAATGGACTGATTCTTATATAGCGCTTTACTACGGAGCCCCGCAGGGGACATGGGAGAAAAAAAAATTAAGACGGACTTTTGCGAGATTTCGCAAAAGTTTTAGCCGCATTCTTCGGAGGCCGCTAGCTCGAAGCCGACCGGGAGGTCGAGGCACGATGTGCCGGGAAAGCGGTGTTCCTCCCGGCTGTAGTAGGTCTCGACCTCCCGTCAGCTTCGAGCTAGTGGGTGTCAGATCTCCGAAAACGTTGGAGCACTTTTGCAAATATGTGACGTCTTGTAAACCGAGCAGGTATCTGACGTTTACACAACTACATTCACGCCTCAAAATATCTTAAGTGTATTTTGTGACCCAGAAAGAGTAATATTACGACTAAGTAGCTGCCGCCATTGTTGGAACTTTTGCGAGATCTCGCAAAAGTCCGTCTTAATTTTTTTTCTCCCATGTCCCCTGCAGGGCTCCGTACCTTTCTACTCTCCCGGAGTACTCAAAGCGACATGCCACATTCACCCAGTCACACCCATCCTCACAAGCACTGACTCTAAACTGAGTGCTAACAACATTCACACACACAGTCAAACTTCAGTGGATGCATCGGAGAGCAACTGGGGGTTAGCATCTTGCCCAAGGATACCTGGAGGTATCGAACCTCAACCTTCCGATCAGTAGGTGACCAGCTCTACCTCCTGAGTTAAAGCCACCCCGAAAAAAGTGCTCTCAATAAAAAAGTTTCCCGATATACCTTTTCCATTTTCTGACAAAAGTTTCAATGACAGGATTTCATAAACAACAAAGGTATACTCATAGTGTGTTAAAAGCCAGGGCATAAAAATGTGTCTTTAGTAAAATGATCACGTGTTTGTGCCGATCTAATATTTCGGGGGAGGCTATTCCAAAGTCTGGGACCTGCCACAGAAGGCTCCATCGCATTTGAGATTAGTCCGGACAGCATTAATTTTGAGCTACACCTCAGGGTTTTTCCTGGAACAGAAACAGAAAGGAGCTCAGACAGGTAGGAAGGGGCTCGGGCGTTAACCGACTTAAAAACAAAAAGTCAAAGTGTAAATTGGATCCTGTAGGAGACGAGAAGACAGTGCAGAGAAGCTAAAACTGGGGTTATACGTAGGGCTGGGTATCATCACTGATTTCTAGAATCGATTCGATCCACGATTCGATTCGATTATCAAAACCCACCCCTAGTTATATGCTCTCTGTTTGGTAGTTAGCAGGCGAGCAGCTGCTAACTATTATAATTTATTTAATCTGGCGCACACAACATTTTACTTCAATTACAAAAAAATCCCCAAAACATTAAGTTTACGTATAATACCATGATGGGGGAAATTAATGGTTCAGGACTTTTCCATAAACAATAAAAAATACGAAGATTGAATCAGTTCGACCAAAACGAAGAAGAAAATCTTTTATTTTGAAGTATGGAAGCGGAAGTTGGATCCGGCTGAAATGACCTGCAGGAGTTAGCGAGCGCCTTCTTCTCCTTTTCAGTAGGTTTCTGCTTCTTCTGCTGTGTTTCTGAGCGAGCCTGTGTATCGGGGTTAACCCGTAATCCCTTCACTAACACATGTACAGGTTAATGTGCAGGAAGTTGTTTTTTCCAGAGCGTTTTACTTCCGCTAAACGAGGGTGTTAGCTAAAGTTAGTTAGCTTTGTGCACAGTTAACGTTTGAGCCCAAAGTCCCAGCTGTTGACAGCTGTTCTGCTAACACGCGGTCTGTATTTGTCTGGTTTAAACAGCTGGACTCGGCACTAAAGTTATGAAAACGAGCTGCTTAATGAACACTTGGTTGTTTGAATGAATATAATCAATAATATAATGTGTTTTCTTCTGAAATGGCTCCTGCTTTTTCCCAGCGCTATGTTTTTATTCGCAAAGTACTTTTATACGTCCTTTAATAACGAACGTAAAACTGACTGAAGTTAAACATGTCTCATTCAAGAGAGACCAGGCCAAGAGGGCCGCATAAATGACAACAAATATTACATTAGCCGTTTCAAGAAAGGTGTTTGAGTGGCTAAAAAAGACCGGATCTACAGTAAATCAGAATCATGAAGACACCTACAAAACAAGCAATATCTTTATTTAATATAAAACGCTCTCAGAAGTTATCAATATCAGATATTTAAAATACACTAAAAACACACAGAACCATCACAAATCCCTTCTTAGCACAACACCGCGATCTCGCTGCCCTTTTAAATATTTCTCTTTCTCCCTTTTCACACTTGTGCTGAGTGTGAGTCATTCCAGCATTTCTAGGCCCTGACATAGAGAGGCAATGTTGCTGTGCTGTGTGATAGTTTGGAAACATGACACTGATCCAACACCTCGAGGTCCTGCAGAAGCTTCCTGCAGGATCACCGAGGCTCTCAGGATCTGTAGATCTTCACAGTCTGATGCTTTCGTGTTTTGATGATTTACTTTTGCCACTACATTAAAAAAGTAAAAGGAGTCCTGAATATGTTCTGACCAGCCACGTCCAGTTTAATTAAAATGCACTTTCTCCAGCGAAAGATCAGCAGATCAAATATCCTGGGGACCGGTGCAGTTAGTTATTGATGCGTCCATCAGGATACTGATGCTTAACTGAGTCACAGAAAAAATAATGAACCAAAAACCGTTTTAGCGGAGCTGTAATGTGTTTTTCTGTGGATACATTCTGCACTGATGGTATTATAAGAGATCAAAAATGCTGAAAACTTAATGAATTTAAAAAACTCTAAATTTCATCCCATTTTATGCACTTCGTATTCTAGTATTTGGAGTATAGAGGTGAAATTGAGCAAAGATCAGCTGATTGTGAGGCGTCAGGTGTTGTTTTTGGATTTATTACATGTTTATGGTCATTTTAGCTTAAACTCTGTGTGTTATGTATTAAAATCAGTGATGGGATTAACGGCGTTACAAGTAACGGAGTTACTTTTTCAGTAACGAGTAATCTAACTAATTCCTATTCCTATCGTTACAACGCCGTTACAGTTACTAACAAGAAAACGCCGTCCGTTACTATTTTTCAACCAACAGACGGTTGAAGCTGTGTTCATCTTACAGCATCTTATATCAGCTGCAGGAAGTAGCTGTAAGTAATCTGGGCGCTGCAGCTTTTAGCAGCTGCGCTCCTGCGGATGGCGATCATGAGCAAAGAGGCAGAAGTTTTAGTAGTGACGTGTTGTCTGTGTTGTCTCCAGGTAGAAACAGGAGTGACACACCTGCTGCTGTCAGACCTGCAGGCATCAGGCTGTGATGTTTGCAAAACGTGTGCATATAATTTTAAAACTGTCAGTTTATGTTTGCATTTGAAGTTATGAAATATGATTCATTAAACATGTTTGTGGTTGTTACAGTAAAAATATCACTTTTTCTACTCGGGTTTTATGTTTTTTGTCTGATTTGAGATCAGTTGTGTTAACACAGTTTGTCAAAATGAAAACATGCCTGTAGATTCAGACACGTGAGGCTGTGCTGATGAGACCAAACAGCTTTTAAAGGTGAAATGTGGAGGAACGCAATAGTTACTTTTCAAGTAACTACTTAACTCAGTTACTAACTCAGTCACTTTTTTGAAGAAGTAACTAGTAACTATAATTAATTACTTTTTCAAAGTAACTTGCCCAACACTGATTAAAAGGGAGTGGACTGTCCTTTCAAGGCGTGTTGTGGTCACGTGTTCAGCTCCCGCAGACGGACGTGGTCGGGGTCGAGGGGTCGCCATGGATAAAGTGAGGAGGATCCTGGTGTATGTGTGCAAAGAGCGAGCGGCTCCACGGCGAGCTCAGTTTGTTCAGGTTGGTGCAGATGTCGTCTCACACCATCTTTAGAGCAACAGAGGGGGCGCTGTTGTCATCTTTCTTCTTCTTGACGTGTCTCAGAGTGTGACGGGTCACTTCACTGACAGCGGCGAGGATGAGGTGGAGGTGAGCTGCACGCTGGAGAAAAATCAGTTCATTCTTTACAAAGGAGACAGAGGACGAGGGGTCCCGCTGAAGGTCAGACACGCTGAGCATTCGCCCCCCTACATCCGTACTCAGTTCAATTTAATTCGGTTGTATTTATACGACAAGTTTCACAACAACAGCTCAGGGTTTCCTGCTGTTTCTCTCTCAGAGGCCTGCTTTCTGTCCCATCAAACACCTGTCAGCCACGGACGCAGCTGCAATCCCATTGGACATCCAACAGCGTGGAGTGGATGTGGGTGTGGCTATCCTCCTGCAGACAGCCAACCAGAGAGTGTTGCTGACACGGCGGGCAAAGGAGCTTCGCATTTTTCCCAACGTCTGGGTTCCTCCAGGTTCAGCACACAGATCTGTGTTTGCACACATTATTAAACACACACACACACACACACACACACACACACACACACACACACACACACACACACACACACTCGTTGTTACGGGTTTTCTTGTTTTGTAACACTCTTCATGTATTGTGTTGATATTTAGGAGGTCACGTGGAGCTAGATGAGACGGTACATGTTTCCTTTGCTTCCAGCATCATTTTACGTGTTGTTCAGTCAGTGCGACGACTTCTACAACAAGGCAAACGAGGTTAACACAAAGTAACTGTGTGAACTTTATTCCTGTAACGTGTGAAGCTGCTGGGTGCAGGTCTGAGAGAGCTGCACGAGGAAACTGGACTCAAACTGGAGCCGGAGCAGGTGTCTCCAACAGTGCTGGGCCTGTGGGAGGTGAGACGGTGACCCGCCTGCTGCTCTTATTTACGTCGTACGCTGTGAGGTTATATATGTCACAGCCCTCTGTGTGTTCTGTCTGACCGTCAGTCGGTGTTTCCTCCCATGCTGTCCAGAGGACTTCCTCAGAGACACCACGTAGTCGTCTACATGCTGCTGCACTCGTCTCTCACTCACCTGCAGTTACAGGTAACAGCTGCGGGGGCTCGGGCTGCCTCCCCTCTCATGGTGGATGTGATTTTGGATCATTTTGGCACCTAATGAATGATTTGACATGATCTTTTGTCTACGTGATGTTGGATGATGATAAAATGGACCCAGCAGGCACAACTCGGCTGTTACTTTAATGTTTTTGTGACCTTGCCCCTCTGTCTTTAGCATTTGTCTCGTTGTGAATGATCCCCTCTGCTGTTATTTTAAAGTGAGCCGGCCTCTTGTGTGATTCCTCTCGTTGTCTGCACCCGCAGCCCTCTCTCAGGCCTTCACCTGCTGAGGTCAGCGCGTGTCTGTGGGCGGACAGCCGGCTGGTCAGAGCCATCGTGTCTGCTGTGGACGGAGACGACGCCAGCGTTCAGCTGGACGACCTGCCGAGCAGCATCAGGTATCACGGGTTTAGATGCAGAGCTGGACGCCACGAAGCTTCCAGCTCACAGAGTTTGTGCTGATGTCAATACCTGAGATGTGCTTGTGAGTCCATTAGAGCTCAGCTGCTTGTGTTATGAAGCACAGCTTGTTTTGTAGTTGTTTTCTACAGGAACAGAGAGGATGCTGTGCATCCTGTAAATTGTGTTCTTGCCTGTTATGTATGTGAGGCTTTGTGTGGCGCCCTGGCCTGACAGCTCAGAGAGAAAAAAAGCATGCTGCCCTCACAAAACCTGCAGACACTGACATCAATGCAGCACAAACTGCGAGCTGGATGTTTCACGGCACGGGCATGTGCTTCTTTTCTGAGCCCTTCTGTGTCTCCAGCGTGTCGCAGGTCTCTGCAGACGGAGCTCTGACCGAGTCTTCGATGCCTCTGGCGGTCTTCACCAGTCGCGCTCCAGCCAGCGGTCCCGACGTGGAGCGGGTCAGCACCGGGACCAAGTTCGCCCTGGAGCTGTGGCTGAGGAGCCTCGATGTCCCTGACCTGTGACCCCCTTTAAAAGCCCACCCTGCAGACATCAAGAAGGACGCACAGGGATGAGAAAAATGGTGCCGCTGTGGATCCCACTGCTGTTCTTCACTGAAACACTGCAAGTCATGTGTGTTTTACTTCAGGCCAGCAGGGGGCGGTGCAGGCCAGTGCACAGGTGGCTGTTTAACACAGGAGAGGAGGGGGTCACACAGGTGGCTGTTTAATCAGCTCATCTTTCAGTCTCATGTAAAAAAGTAAAACATATTAATGTACAAACTTTTATCAGGTGTCACTCTGAAGGTTGCTCGTGTTCGCAGCGTCACATTTCTGTATAAATAATATAATAAAGCCGTATCTTTGGTTGTGGCGTCTCCTCAGAGACGTCCGAGAAGACGAGTTTTCCAAAATCCTGTTTCGGAGTACGACGTCCTGGACTTATTATCTGGAACGATCATGTCATTCAAATGAAAATCTGTTTCCTTTTCACATAAATTCGATTTTTAGTATTTAAATCGAAGTTTGCACTGCACAGCATACCTCATCACGGGCAGAGGAAGCTCGTGGACCGTGCAAACGTAAAAACTGGATGTTTGCTTAGTTTGTTTTTTGACACTGCAATAAATATTCTGTCCTGAACTCTTCTGGTTATATTTGTTTCTTGTTTTAATATTGAGCTTTTCAGAGCCGGCCTCTCTGCTCTTTCACTCACTGTCAGGCCTCGTGCCTGAGCAGTTACAGACCAGTGTTTTGTCTTTGTTGAACCACGCTGACCTCATTCCAGGATAAAACAGGAGCCAACGCATGGAAACCAGTGTTGTGACAACTAAGCAAAGAACAGAGTCGGAGAATATCTGATCTGAAATTATTGACACGTAAAATTCTATATTTCCATTCAGGTTGAACGTAGACGTTTTAGCTGAACGAGTTACATTTATGTACTATTTTAATTTGTGACTATATCAGTAAAGTTTGGGGGAATCGAAGAGTTCAAACTGCGTTCCTCCAACCATCTTCTGCAGTTAATTTCTGTTTCTAAGGCAGACGTGCAGAGTTTCAGCTCTTTTTCATGAATCATATCTTCTTCCTGTCGCACAGGATGGAAACCTGGCAGCCTCTCTGTTTGGGTTTCTGTTGTTTCCATCACCTTCAAAGCAAAACAAGCAGGTAGACAATATGAAGGAGGAACCCGAATAAGACTGAGGGAGTACAACAGACTAAAGAGACTGCAGAGAGAATGAGGCCCAGGTGAACACGATCAAGACCGTGACAAGAGCTGACTTCCTGTTTCAAAAAGAAGCCCCACCTGCTCTCCAAACCTTCTGTTTGTGAGGGGCAGCCAATCAGAAGGAAGTTGGTTTATAAGGAGAACTCAAGTGCACATGGAAGGTGAACTGAGATCAACTCAAGTCCTGCTGTTGGATGATAATTTTTTTTTTTTAAACTGAATCTTGCATATTTATTCTAGTAAAGCCCAAGACGTTAAGTAACGAGGTGAGAATCAAGTAAAGCTGCTTTAAAATGCTTTTATGAATCTTGAGAATAAGTGACTTCCTGTGTGCGCTGTGAACACGCGGCGCTGTACAGGTTACCAAGCACGATGTTTGTGACCCGGCTCAGTTTCAGATAACCAGCTGTGGTTGCGGTGGTTGGCCACACCTTTAACCAACGAAACCAGGAATGACATCAGTTTGGATCAGAAGTGTTATCACTTCCCTCCCAGGGTGGAGCCTTTCCATCCACAGTGCCTGAGGCGCACCACCCTCCCACTCTGTGTTTCACTACTTTCATATGTTTTGCAGGAGACGCCGCTGTCACACATGACTCTGTGACTCCGCAGCCCTGTCTAACCTGGACCGGTCTCACTGGGATTCAATAGTCCTGACCTACATTTTGTTTTTAAAAAAGCTCCAGAGTAAAATTTCACACTGCTGCCAAGAAAGAGCTGCGCCTGAGCCAGATTTGGGGACACCCACGTGTGATTTCAAGCCGGGCTACAGACCAACTTATGTTTATATCTTTTCCTTAAAGCGTCCCAGTGCGCGGTACAGGTGCATCGCTTATTCATGCAGTAATAAGAGCAACCACCGGCCTCTGTGTGGTGTTGTAATGGAGACAATGGCATGACAGCACGATCTCTTGGTGTGTCTGACAGTTATAAATGAAGGCAAACAAATGGCAACCTGTGATACTCCCAGCTCCTGTCCCACAGGAGAACAGCAGGGATGGTGGGTGTGGAAAGTCATGGAGAAAGTTCAATTCTGATCAGACACAGAAGCAGAGCGAGAGGAGGCCGGAGAGAGTAAGACCGCACACACCGCGTCGCTCAGCATGTGTCGAATCTCATTAGTCTGCTTAAATAATGACCTTGAATCCAACAGGGAAGTCTGAAAAACTGTTACAAAGCCCAGCTTCATAGGAGGAATAAACCCGAAGCGTTCCAGGTTCATTCCATGTAAAATCAATCAAACTTTGAGGAGACATCGTGTGGCCTCGGTGGCTGCTTAATCAAGTTGTGTCATATTTGATGGCTTCTGGTCATAAATCCCTCGAGTTTCCTCTTTTAACAAAGCTCACAGCTGTGCAACAGCAACATTGATGGTCACGTGTTCAATAAGAGTTTGTCTGAGGATGAACTGATTTCTGAGCAGCACTGAACACACCATAAGAAAGTTTGGTTATAAGTCAGAAGCTGAACCAGTCTAGACCTGGATGAGCCGTCACTGTGAAACTGTTCAAAGTGTGAAGGTGACATTTTTCATGGCTTCAGTAAATATACTAAAGTTACTGTAGAAAAAACGTCAGCTGATTCTGGCGGTCAGGTGACAGGACAACACGACAGGATGTTCCTGGCAGAATATTTTGTGTGTATTTTACAAGAAGTTATTTTTAGCACTTAAATCCACTGAAATCATTTCGATTCATAGTTTTTTTTATTGTTTTCCATTTTGAATAAAGCATCATTGTTCCATACGCCAGAGAGCATCAAGTTCAACAGTGCGAGGCGTTCAGGTGCATCACTGCAGAATCGGAAATCATTAAAATGATAAAGAAGAAAAATAAAACAGGAAATGCTGATGAGAACAATCATATGTGGCTGTAAGTGTGTTCATGCTCCCTCTTACATGCGTGGCATATAAAAGCTCTTAAAATCACACCACTTATAGATATCTGTATATGATTACTCCACATTAACCCAACATCACTGCTTACATCTTCTCGTCCTCAGAAATCTTTTGTGTTATTTCTTATAATAAGAAACACTAATAGCTTTATTTACAGCTAGCTGTTTTTAACATTTAGATGAAAAGGATTTGTCCTACATACTCGTTCATAGTTTGGTACTTGAAAGGTAAAGGGCGACTTTTGGCTGCTCAATCAACTGAATGTGACTTTTTGAAAAGAGAAAATAATTCGATTGTGTAACAAAGTTCCTGCCCTGACGTCAGCATCCATGGGAGGTTTGTGGAAAGGCAGACACTCCCGAGCTGTCCGAGCTCGGGCTGTTGTGTTCCTGAGGTGAATAAAAAGTAAAAGTCAACAGAACGGCCGAACCCTGTCGCGGTCATACGTGCTTCCTTTCAAAGCATTCGCTCAGGTGAGTCAGGCAGATGAATACCTATCAGCCTGTCAGTCATCATGAAACCCGAGCCCTTAAGCACATTACACATGTGTTATATCTAAGGGCGTTTAAAGCACTGATTACAGAGGGCCTGGCATGTTTCCTGTTATGAGATGTTAAAGCTGGATTTGGATTTAGAGTCCAGATTTGCCCGAACGACCCACCCAGCAAACATTTCCACCCTGACCAACGTCAGCTGAGGTCGTCTCTCAGCATCGTCTCGGTTTAAAAACAGCTCTGAAATAAAAGTTGTGCTGATGTCAGAGAACCAATTCTGCCATTGGCAGGACTGTTTGTTCAAATGTTGTTTTATATTTTTTATTGATGGCTGATGTTTATGGCACTTACATATGTCAGAAATATGAGGTATGTCTTGTTGTATAACTTGTTAGTATTTAAAAGTAGAATGGGAGGCAGAGCCTTCAGTTTTCAGGCCCCTCTTCTGTGGAACCAGCTTCCAGTTTGGATTCAGGAGACAGACACTATCTCTACTTTCAAGATTAGGCTTCAAACTTTCCTTTTTGCTAAAGCATATAGTTAGGGCTGGACCAGGTGACCCTGAATCCTCCCTTAGTTATGCTGCAATAGACGTAGGCTGCCGGGGATTCCCATGATGCATTGGGTGTTTCTTCTTCACTCACTATGTGTTAACAGACCTCTCTGCATTGAATCATATCTGTTATTAACCTCTGTCTCTCTTCCACAGCATGTCTTTATCCTGTCTTCCTTCTCTCACCCCAACCAATCGCAGCAGATGGCCCCGCCCCTCCCTGAGCCTGGTTCTGCTGGAGGTTTCTTCCTGTTAAAAGGGAGTTTTTCCTTCCCACTGTCGCCAAAGTGCTGCTCATAGGGGGTCATATGATTGTTGGGTTTTTCTCTGTATGTATTATTGTAGGGTCGACCTTACAGTATAAAGCTCCTTGAGGCGACAGTTGCTGTGATTTGGCGCTGTATACATAAAATTGAATTGAACTGAAGGCTTCATCTGTAACGTGGTGCCTTCTACATTTAGATGAATATAAGATATTGATGCTGTGGAAACGATGCGTTAAAGTTAAACAAAGACAAATTTGTAACAAGATAAATACACATGATGACAAACAACGATACAATAAACTTTTGCAGATTTGTTTATTCAGATAAAATATAAAAGATTTAAAAAAGCCCAGAGAAATGGAAACCTAAAACGAGTGAGCGTGTTTCTCTTTGCTGGTAACGGTTGCTGTGATGCTGACTCAGTTCAGAGCCCATCCCAGCCTCTTTATGTTGATATCGGCTTTATCACTCCTGCTAAACGCTCCCAAGTTCATACATTCCTCCGCAGCTCCGCCCGCTCCACGCCCGCCTTCTCTTTCTGTCTTTGTGACCGAGCTGCTTTGTTGGAAAGAATAAACTTAGACTTTGGTTTGAAAAGATGAATCAAACCTGCAACAATGAGGATTTGCTTTCAGGCCACGATTGTCCTGCTGCAAACATAACAAACAAAAAAGTGGGACATTGGAGCCGCTGCCAAACCAACACACGCAATAAAAGTACAAATAATAGCAAAGTTATTACCAGGAAAGAAAAACAGTGGGAAAAAGAAGCACGAACATTTTTCAAAAACCCTCAATAGTCTTAAAAATAACACGAAGAATTGATTTAGGTGTAAAAAGAAGAGTACCATGGGACACAAGTGGAAACAGCTTCATATCATGTGAACTGTCAGTGTCACTGGCAGCTATAGAAACAGTGAAAACATGGAGCATATATAATTACAGGCACAACAGTGTGTTTGTATAGAAAACCACGTTTTGTATTCTGTAGCTTTTTATATCAATAATAAAATAATTAAATGGCTGCTGAGTAGGTGAGACATTAATTCTCCAACAGTAAGGAGGGAAAATACATGTATGAAATGTTTAAAGTGTATTTATGCACTGGAACTGCACCTCAGCAGCCACTTCATTAGGTACACCTGGAAACGTTCCTGGAAACCAGATTTTGGTCCATGTCGATGTGACATCATCGTACAGCT